CTCTCCCCCACACCCCCTCTCTCTCTCTCCCCACACACCTCCTCTCTCTCTCCCCACACACCCCTCTCTCTCTCCCCCACACACCCCTCTCTCTCTCTCCCCCCACACCCCTCTCTCTCTCTCCCCCCACACCCCTCTCTCTCTCTCCCCCCACACCCTCCTCTGTCTTCCCCCCACATCTCCCCTCTCTCTTCCCCCCACACCCCCCTCTCTCTCTCTCTCCCCACACCCCTCTCTCTCCCCACACCCCCTCTCTCTCTTCCCCCACATCTCCCCTCTCTCTCTTCCCCCCACACCCCTCTCTCTCTCTCTTTCCCCCCCCACACCCCTCTCTCTCTCTCTCTCTCCCCCCACACCCCCTTTCTCTCTCTCCCTTCTCATTCCCCCCAATCCCCCTCTCTCCCATTTCCCCCAAACCCCCTCTCCACTCCCATCCCCCAATCCCCCCTCTCTCTCTCTCTCTCTCTCTCCCCTCTCATTCCCAACCCCACTCTCTCCCCTCCCATTCCCCCCCCAATCCCCCTCTCCCTTCTAATTCCTCCCAATCCCCCTCTCCCCTCACATTCCCCCCCTCTCCCCAATTTCCCCAATTCCCCTTCTCCCCAATTTCCCCCTCTCACCCAATTCACCCTTCCCTCGCCCCCCCCCCCATTCCTCCCCTCCCCCCCCCCATTCCTCCCCCCCCCTATGCCTCCCCCCCCTTTAATTTAAATACCCATTAAATACCAATGTGTCACCAAATTAAATGGTTAACCGTGGAAGGAAGGGATCCTTTATCGCGGTGCGTGGTGTTTGGGTTTGACTGGAGCTCTCGGTCAGGGGAAGGGCCAGAGAGCGTCTCGAAGCTTATTTTTAGATAATAATTAATCATTATTTTTTTTAAGGCAAAAAAATCCTGATCTGTTGAACTTCGGAAAGTTCACAGCGGGGAATAGTCTCTCTCTCCCGCCTATTTTTTTTGCCAGTTCAGGGTTTTTAATCCAATTGCAAACACATTACTGCACTGTCCTCACCAGATCTGATTTGTTTTTTAATTTTTTTTCGAAAAAAACACACCCCTCCCTTCCCCGAGGAGTAGGTAAGGAAGAAATAAAGCACTGGTGGTCGTGTGACCGAGTGTCAAATGTATTATTCTCGTTGCAAAGTGGAGTAAATCATCAGACAGGAACTCTGGCTTTCTCCTGTTGCCTTGAAACCCACAACCAGTCGGTGCAATTATAATTTTTTTTTATTCGTCTACAGTGCAACTGAAACGTGCGGAAGGAACGACGATCACTGCATTTAGAAGTACTTTGTCGTCTTTGAGTGCAAATGGGCTTAACTGCATTTAGACGTCCAGGGGATGGGTTGTAAAAGCGTAACATTGTTCGACCGGCGCTAAAGGGGCTATTTGAAAAGCGAAGGGAGTTTCACTAAAACTGGTCACTCACTCCGTGACTGTTTCTATGATAATAATCCTTGCATTTGACCCGGCGCCTCATCACGTCTCCTCCACGTCTCAAAGCGCTTCACGGAATACACTGTAAAGTGAGTTGACTGCATTTCGTGGGCAAAATATTTTCCAGGACATGGCTGTCCGCAACTGGCTCCTGTGTCTTCCCCACAATCAATCCTCTTTTTTAACAGTATAATCCCGTAAAGCGCTTTGAGACGTCTCGACGACGCGATCAGTCGCCGTGTCAAACGCAAGGATTATTCTTATTATTATTAACTTGAGAGCTTTCCCTCCTGCACTTATTGTGTGTGTGCGCGTGCGCGCGCGCCTTTCAGCCTCAAGGCACATTCATAAAAAAACCCGCACGTATGGAGTTTGTGGCCATTCCCTTAGGAATTTGTGCAAATAAAACTTTCTTTGCACTGTGAGAGACATTGACGCATCTGTAAATGGTTACTGCAGGTGAGCCTCGGATCAATCCGGGGCCCAGAGTTTGTGGGTTTCGCAGTCCCATTGACTTGGTGTGTTAACACACTGCACTGTGTGTTTCCGGAGCCATGTAGGGGGTCAGTCCGGTTGATTGCTTTTCCGGGGATAATAATCCCTTCCAATAAATAAATAATGCTAATGACTTGGTCGCTTAATCCACGACTGTTTGCGGGACACTGCTGTGTGCCATTGGCTGCCACCTTCTGCCCACAAAATACACGGTCAATCCTCTTTACGGTGTAAAGGTGTGATAAAGCGCTATATTAAACACTTATTATTATTATAAATGATATTGTATCAGGAGTTTGAGCTCACTCAGGTTCTAGGACAATGCAGGGGAAGGGGAGCAAAGGGCGTTGCATCCTGTATGACACGTTTTCGATCGTTGTAGAACCTGGTATTTACCAGGAATTTCTGACCGTTGTAAGTTCATAAATAATAACGAATCCCCTGCTCTCGTTTCTCTCGTCTAGTTGACCACGGTTTAGTGCGACTCATCACGGTTTACCGCGAACATGGACACAAAACCGCAAAAATTAATCCCTTGGGAGAGGATGCGGTGGAGGTGGTTCCTGAGATCGAAGCCTTAACTGAGGTCCTTCAGGGTCAAGGCTTGTTCCAAACCAAAGGTACTTTTAGAGCGTTACTGAACTGAAATAGGATTTGAGTGCAAGGATTATTATTACGATATCATTTTCTCACTGCAAATAGTGATCTAGAAATGGGGATTATTACGTCAGTCAGTTAAGTACTTGATTTGGGACCAAAGATTATTGTCCAACCGAGGTCCAGTCTGCCCAATCGGGTGGATGTTAAAGATTCCCATGACGCTGTTCAAAAAGAGTAGGGAGTTTCTTCTGGTGTACCGGAGGGTAAAACCGTAGGCAAGTTTCCTTACTCCACACGCCTCTGATCACCGAGCAGCAAGTAGGAACCAGATTGTTAGACGATTGGCGGATTGCTTTACGGGGACAATAATCCCTCAAATAAAATGATAATAATTTGGTCACTCAATCCACGACTGTTTGTGGGACACAGCTGTGCACAATTGGCTGCTGCCAGTGATTTATTACTATCATTTTTTTTGAGAGATAATGACCCCAGCAAAGCAATCTACAAGAGCACTAACCACTGTGGTACGGTACACCTGTACATGGGTGATATATGTCGTTCTAGGAATGTTGAACATTGGGAAAGAGGAAGCTACCCTGGAAGAAGTGCTAGCATACCTGAACCACACTTACTGCGGCCACATGTCTGTCGAGATCAGTCACTTGGAGACCCTGGCGGAGAGGGACTGGTTTGCTCAGAGGTTTGAGCAGATCAAGCAGGAAGCCTTGACCCCAGAAGAACGCAGGCATTTGGCAAAGTTAATGCTGGAATCTCAGGTAACGAATTAAATCAGTGGCGTGTTCTTAACTCAGTAAGGATTGAAAGGGAATGAGCACGACTAGGCATGAAAGACAAAACCTGGAAGGGGAGAAATCAGCCAGTGGCTCTCGTTCATTACTTCTGGGGCGTTGGTGGATGGATGTGGACAAACAAAAATATGTTGCATTGATCTCAGTCCACGACTGTTTGTGGGAAGCTGCTGTGTGCGATTGGCAGTCTGCGTTTCGCCCACAAAATATACGATTCACTTTGCAGTATATTCTGGGGAGCGCTTTGAGAAGTGATCAGGTACTATATCAAAGGCAAGGATTATAATTATTGTTATTATTATTATTATCTGATTGGGGAGGGGAGAAAGTCGTGTGAGGGATACACCATCGTGCGGAAGTGACTAACTACTTGTTTTGATGCAACAGGAGTTCGACCACTTTTTGGCCACTAAATTTTCCACGGTGAAGCGCTACAGTGGTGAGGGAGCGGAGAGCGTGATGGGCTTCTTCCACGAGCTGTTCCGGACGCTGGCGTTCAGCGGTGTCACTGACGTGGTGTTGGGAATGCCTCACCGAGGCCGGCTCAACCTGTTGACAGGGCTCCTTCAGTTCCCTCCTGAGGTCAGATGATGGTCGCCTTGTGGACAAGAGCATTGAAGGGAGATGGTTCAGGAGATTTGCCATCTGTAATATTGGGGGTGAATGTTTATTAGACTCCTGGCGTGTTCCGACAGAGAACTAGGTCGTTTGGACCGTCCACTCTTTGCTGTTCTAATTTAATACACCTGATCCAATCCCATTGCCCATACCCTTCAGTATTTCTGTCTTTTAACCATCTATCCAATTCCCTTTTCTATGTGGAGAATCTTTGTGGAGTCCTGTAGCTCAGCAGTTAGAGCACTCGCCTCGCAAGCGAGAGGAACTGGGTTTGGTTCCCAGGTGGGGGCAAAACCTTATTCAAATTTTCTTACTCCACACGCCTCTGTTTACTTAAAGGAAGAACCCGGTTGTTAGTCAATTGGCGGATCGCTTTCCAGAGAGTAATAATCCCTTTTTTTAAAAAAAAATCTGATCATTTAATCCACGGCTGTTTGTGGGACGCTGCTGTGCACTATTGGCTGCCGCGTTCAGCCCACAAAATACAGTCAATTCACTTCGCAGTATATCTTGTGAAGCGCTTTGAGACGTCTCAACGATGAGATAAGGCGCCAAATCAAATGCAAGGATTATTATTATTTAATTGGTGAGGCACTGTTACATTTGCTCGGTACCTGAAAGCTCTTTGTGGATTTCTCTGCAGTTGATGTTTCGTAAAATGCGGGGTCTTAGCGAGTTTCCAGAAACCTCTCCTGCCCTCGGAGATGTCCTGTCTCATCTGACGTCCTCTGTGGACTTGGACTTCGGCTCTGACCGGACACTACACGTCACCATGCTGCCCAATCCCTCCCACCTGGAGGCCATCAACCCCGTGTCTGTGGGTAAAACTCGCGGCAGACAACAGTCTCGGCAAGATGGGGACTATTCACCGGATGGTGCTTCGCGACCGGGAGACAGAGCCATTTGTGTACAGGCAAGGAATGAAGTACTTTACTTTAACCCCACCCTGAGCATGGAAAATATGGAATAGATTCCCTTCCCCTCCAAGGAGAGAGAGAGATAGAGACAGAGACAGAGCGGGTTCCATTCCAACAATCTATCTCTGGGATTTCCACGTGTAGGAGGGAGGCCTGGAATTCTCAGTTGGGTTTGGAGACTCTTAAGCAACGGTGATGGGTTTCCGCGTGTGTCAGACACCCGGCTGATCAAAAAAAAAGCTACTACTCTTATCATTATCATTTCGCCCACAAAATATAGTTTCCAGTCAATCCACTTTCCAGTACATTCTGTGAAGCTTTGAGACGTCTCAACTAAGTGATAAGGCGCTATATGAAATGGAGGTATTATTATTATTAAAGTCTGCCCATCACTGCTGTAGCTGCTCAACCTGTTGTGCAGATGGCAAATAAATGTTCCTTGCATCATTGCAACTGTTCCAAAGTGTCCAATTGGCTTCTTCTCTCTCTCTCCTCGCTGTAGATCCATGGCGATGCTTCCTTCCCAGGACAGGGAATTGTGGCCGAGACCTTCACTCTCGCTAACCTCCCCCATTACAGAGTTGGCGGGAGCATTCACCTCATCGTCAATAATCAACTGGGCTACACGACTCCCGCTGAGAGGGGGAAGTCCTCCCTCTACAACAGTGATATTGGTACGACATAGAAACACAGGAGTAGGCCATTCAGCCCCTCGAGCCTGTCCCACCATTCTATTAAATCTGCACCTCAACTCCATTGACCGGCCTTTGCTCCATATCCCTTCAAACCCCCCCCACCACCCCTCCTCGGGTCAGGGTATTTGTGGAGTCCTGTAGCTTAGTGGTTAGAGCCCTCGCCTCGCAAGCGAGAAGACCCGGGATTGATTCCCAGGCGGGACGAATGTTCGGCAAGTTTCCTTACTCCGCACGCCTCGGTTTCCCCAGCAGTAAGGAGGAATCTGGTTGTTAGTCGATTGATCGCTTTCCGGGGGTAATAATCCCTCCCCAAAAATATTAGTAATAATAATAATTTGGTCACTGTATCCACAACTATTTGTGGGACACTGCTGTGCGCAATTACTCTTAAGCACGGTGAAGGGTTTCCGCTTGCACCAGATACCCGGCTAACCACAAAAAAACACTCATTATTATCATCATTTCGCCCACAGAATACACAGTCAATTCACTTTACAGTATATCCTGTGAAGCGGTTAGAATGCAAGAATGCAAGAATTATTATTCTAATACTAGTATTAATCACCATATGGTGATTGCCTTTCAGGTAAGATAGTCCACTGCGCCGTTATTCATGTGAATGGAAACGATGCGGAGGAAGTGGTGCGAGCCACCAGGCTGGCTGTCGAGTACCAGCGACGTTTCCGCAAGGACGTGATTGTAGACCTGCTGTGCTACAGGCAGTGGGGCCACAATGAACTGGACGAGCCTTTCTTCACCAATCCCTCCATGTACAAAATCATCAGGTAATAATAATCCTGGCAACCAGCGCCTTATCACATCATTTGCACGTCTCGAAGCGCTTCACAGGATACGCCGTGAAGTGAATTGACCGCACGTTATGTGGGCGAAAGACGGCAGCCAATTGCACACGGCAGCGTCCCACAAACAGGCGTGGATTGAGTGGCCACATTATTAGTCATTTATATTGAAGAGATTATTTCCTCCACAAAGAGGTCTCCCAATCGACTAACAAGTGGGTTCCTACTGACTGCTGATAAACAGAGGCGTGTGTGTGGAGTAAGGAAACTTGCCTAAGGTTTTGTCTCGCCCCGGGAATTGAACCGGAGTCCTCTCGCTTGCGAAGCGAGGCTCCGTGGCTGGATTCAGCCACTTTGTGATGCAGCACCTGGAAACTACAACAACAACACCTTGCATTTATTGAGACCCCTTCCACGGGATGCGTCTTGGAACGCTTCACAGAGGTGAGGTTTGACGGTGAGCTGGAAAGGGAGACGTGGTGACCAAAGGCACGATCAAAGAGGAAAGTCTTCAGGCATCATTTGAAGATGGGTAAAGGAAGGGGGGGATGGAGAGATTGAGGCAAGCAATTCCGGAGACTCAGGGCGTAGATGCTGTAACCAAATCCTTCTAGTTCTCACACCTCACCACATTGTCCTCGTTGTTCTCTGTCTGACGTATTTCATCTTTTCCTTTCCCGCAGATCCCTTAAGAATATTCCTGACTTGTATGCGGAGAGCTTGGTGGCGGAGGGCCTGTTGTCGGAGCAGGATGTGTCTCAGACAAAAACCGCCTTGTACTCTAAACTCAGCGAGCACCTCGCAAACATGGCCCTGTACTCCCCTCCTGCCCTGAACCTCCAGGCTCACTGGACCGGCCTGGTGGAGCCTTCAGCCCACATCAGCGTGTGGGACACGGGGATATCCTCCGATCTGCTCAAGTTTGTGGGAGCCCAATCCGTGCTCGTTCCTGAGGAATTGAGTGTCCACAGTCAACTGCTCAGGACACATATCCAGGTTGGCATTAGAAAAGATGTACATGGCTTCTGCTTGTATTTCTGGATTATGGGGGGGAATCTCCTATCGTTGATGAGTTATATTAAAAAAATTACAAAATGCTTTAATTAAGCCCCCAAAAAAGGTATGCATGGTATTCTGGAACTAAGTAGTGACAGAGGTCACGCACCCTTCTAGAGAGATACATCTTCTATATACTAATGAAGACAAAATGTCTGTCTGTGTGTCAGGAGTCTTTCCACCAGGATTCCTCCCACAGGAGTCCTCCCACTGAATCTCCCAAAAGGATATGCGAACAAGGGACGGTAACAAGTTTCATAGCACATTTTCTTAACCTTTAGGGATGAAGTTTGTTACTGTGAAGCGCTCTGAGACGCCGTCCGGCGTGGAGGGCGCTATATAAATCCATGTTGTTGTTGTATAAAGATGCCTAAGAAGCGAAGATCAAGCCTTTCAAGGACAAATAAAAATGTCGGGCGAAAGAGAGGAGGCCGATGAAATGAAACTGGTTGCAAGCATAGCTGCAACGCATACCGTTAGTTACAGTATATTTTGTGAAGTGTTTTGAGATGGCCCAATAATATGATGGATTATTATTATTGACATGGCACCACTTCTTGCAGCAGGGATGGGTGATGGTGGGGGGGGGAACGGGAATTGAGAGATTGTAATTGATGTGTAAATGTAATCCTGAGTTGCGCTGTTGTTATTTCGTGTTGACCTCTCTCTAGGCCAGGATACAGAAGCTGGAAGAGGGCACTAGGCTGGACTGGTCCACGGCTGAAGTGTTGGCTATTGGATCACTCCTGTGTCAAGGTAATCTTGTCACTGGCTCAAATGGATCTTAATGTACAACGCATTTTACATTTGTCCTGGCCGACAATCCCCCCAAATAAAAAAAAATTGATCAAACACCCTATGGCTATTTGTGGGACATTGTTGTGCGCAATTGGCTGCCACGTAATACACAGTCACCCCACTTTACAATATATTCTGTGAAGCGCTTTGGGACATCTCAATGGATTGTGATCAGTTGCTAAGCAAGACATATAACTACATCCCTTCATCTATGAAGCCGGTTGTAGCAACCTTATCCTGTCTCATTTGAGAGGAAATAGCACATGTTTGAGATTCAATTTGGGGCCTTCTTGAACTGTATGGCTCAGTTAGCCCCAGAATAACACTCACTTGGGCATGGCAGTGAGGGGGAGTGGGGGAGGGAGACAAACACTCATGCTAAGTTAGTATTTTCGCTCACAAAATGACAGTCAATTCACTTTACAGTATATTCTGTGAAGCTCTTTGAGACGTCTCGAAAGCGTGATAAGGCGCTGTAACTAATGCATGGATTATTATCGTTATCAATCGTTTTCTCACTGCAAAGTATGATCTAGAAATGGGGATTATACATCTTGGTATATCTTAGTTTGAAATGTATTTTTTTTTCACAGATTTTGACGTGTAACCACTAATTCTGTTTTTGTGAAGGTTTCAATGTGAGGATCAGTGGGCAGGATGTTGGTCGTGGTACTTTTAGCCAAAGGCACGTGATGGTCGTTTGCCAGGAGTCAAGTGACATTCACATCCCCCTCAACCACATGAGTCCAGAACAGAGGGGATTTCTGGAGGTAAATGGCCCAAACCACACGCCTCTGTTTCCCGAGCAGTAAGTAGGAACCCGGTGGTTAATCGATTAGCGGATCGCTTTTCCAGGGGTAATAGTCTGTTCAGAAAAAAATGTGGTCACTCAATCCCGACTGTTTGTGGGACGCTGTTGTGTGCAATTGGCTGCTGAGTTTCTCCCACAAAATATACAGTCAATTCCCTTTTACGGTATATTCTGTGAAGCATTTTGAGACTCTGTGATAAGGCGCTACATCAAGTGCAAGGATTATTATCGTGGGAATTAATGAAATTGATTTTGATGAGACTTTTTTAAAAATAGAATTGAAATTGTCAAAGCAGCAACTATGTGAAAAGTAACTTAACGCGTCACCTTTTTGCATTAGGTTTGTAACAGTCCGTTGTCTGAAGAGGCGGTGCTGGGCTTCGAGTATGGAATGAGTATCGAAAGCCCCAAGCTTCTTCCAATATGGGAAGCCCAATTTGGGGACTTTTTCAACGGGGCCCAAATCATATTCGATACTTTCATCTCTGGAGGTGAGAACCCTAATGAACCTAATCACTCTTCTGCCTGGATTTATTGGCCAAACCGTGGAATATTTTCAGGGTGGAGCAACTTGTTCACTGGGAGCAACCTGTTTACTTCTCAATTGGAATGGGTTACCAGGAAGGGTGGAGTCCCTGTAGAGTGAGAGGACCCGGGTTCCATTACTGGGCAGGGCAAAGTTTCCTTACTCCCAACGCCTCTGTTTGCCGAGCAGTCAGTAGAAACCCGGTTATTAGCTGATCGGCGGATCGCTTTCCGGGGGTAACACGGGGACGAGCTACAAGCAGAAGGCCAGAGCCAAGGGAGTGGGGAGAAGGCAGGTCAGGAAGGTAAGGAAATAGGAGGGGGATTCAGGTTTGAGTGAAGCATGAAGCCTGGCTGTCTGTTTTACACATTAAACTCCACTCCTTTGGTAGGTGAGGCAAAATGGATGTTGCAGAGCGGGATAGTTATTCTGCTGCCCCATGGCTATGACGGAGCAGGTCCAGAACATTCGTCCTGTCGTGTAGAACGTTTCTTGCAGGTGAGTGACCTCCTTTCACCTCCCGCAATCTCTCCCAATCACAAGTCAGGATCGGAATAAACACATGACTCAAGGGTAAACTGGTTAGATGGATAGATGATGGTTAGACAAACTTAGAGACAGTTCTATAAGCAGAAGCGTGTAGTTAATGTTCCGCCCACAAAATACGCAGTCAATCTGCTTACAGTACATTCTGTGAAGCGCTTTGAGACGTCTCAACTACGTGATAAGGTGCTAAATCGCGTGCAAGGATTATTATTATCTACATCGGGGGGAGTCCAACCTTTTGGCTGCTGAGGACCAGATGCCTTGTTTGAGAAACGTCTGTGGATCGCATAAGCAATATTTTTGTGTTTCCCTTCCAGAAACATAACATTTACGGGTTATGGAGGGAGGGGGTGGGCCAGAAGAAATGGAGGGAGGGGGTGGGGGTTGGATGAAATCGGCCCTCGGGCTGCCAGTTATAAAGTCTACATGAATAAGCAGATTGCTTCACAACTGCTATGCCAATTATTTACTCTAATCTGTCAAACAGCAAGCAGAGAGCATAATAGTGGATTTGTTTGCTACCCAAATAGCCGCATAATCTCAATACTGCATCGACTCGATGTGTGTCTGTGATTTTGCATCTTCCAACAGATGTGTGACAGTAAGCAGGAAGGCATCGATGGAGATAATGTAAATATGTCCGTTGTGCATCCGACCACACCAGCACAGTACTTCCACCTAATCCGCAGACAGATGATTAGAAACTTTCGCAAGCCCCTGATTGTGGCGTCTCCTAAAATGTTGCTTCGGTTCCCAGTGAGTATCTGCAACCTTTCTGAGATGCCACCACCCTGAAATGTCACTGTTATTCCTTCGAAAATAAATGCAATCCTGCAGCTCAGTGGTTAGAGCGCTCGCCTCGCAAGCGAGAGGGCCCGGGTTCGATTCCTGGGCGAAATCTTAGGGAAGTTTCCTTACTCCACACACCTCTGTTTACGCAGCAGTAAGTAGGAACCCGGTTGTTAGCCGATTGGCGGATCGCTTTCTGGGGGTAATAATCCCTCTCACCAAAAAACCCACAAATTAGTCATTCAATCCACGACTGTTTGTGGGACGCTGCTGTGCGCAATTGGCTGCCGCGTTTCGCCCGCAAAATCTACGGTCAATTCACTCTACAGTACATTCCTTGAAGAGCTTTGAGACGCCTCAACGATGTAATAAGGCCTGATATCAAATACAAGGATTATTATTACAGTAGAGTGGGGCTATTACCTATCACGATTGCAAACTATAGGAGACTGTGCCTTTGGCCATATCTGTGCTAAAATATAACTTGACCATTTTCTCTCTCTCTCTGTCCTAAGGCTGCAGTCTCGGGTCTGGATGAGATGGCACCTGGAACCACTTTTAAACCCGTTATTGGTGATTTGTCCGTGGATCCTAACAAGTAAATATAACTTTCCTCCTGTGTGTTTCTGTTGGCTGTGATTCCAGACTGCATGATACTCCTCATCGAGATGTGCAAAGCCTTGTGAATAGGTCGACCGCATGACATATTGTCTGGGAAACAAAAGGGTTGGTGGGGTGGGGTGGGGGTGCGGAGGAGGAAGGAGAAATTCAGCTGTTTAATGAGCTGTTGCTGACTCAGTAACTATGGCAACAATATTCTTCAGCACCTGATAGTGCACCTAATTCTTATAATGACCACTTTTCTGGGCGTGCATTTGCCCTGTGCATCTTCTACACGAGCAGAATTGTTTTCGCGCTCCAATAATTGCATATGATAATGTGTGACTTTCCAGTGTCATAAATTATACATTATAGTTTTTCTATTTGTAGGAAAAATAAAGTGCCATCTCTTCCTAAAGGAGTAAGCAAGTGGTCTCTGTTCAGGTGGACACTAAGGATCCCATCATAACAATAAATCTTGCATTTGAGATAGGATATATTTGCATTAATATATATGTATATATTATCACGTCATCGAGATGTCTCAAAGTGCATCACATAATAATATAGTAATGATAATCCTTGCATTTGATATAGCGCTTTTCACGTCTTCTAGACGTCTCAAAGCGCTTCACAGAATATGCTGTAAAGTGAATTGACTGTGTATTTTGTGGGCGAAATGAACAGCCAATTGCACACAGCAGCGTCCCCACAAACAGCTGTGGATTGTGTGACAAAATTTAGGTGTTATATCAAATGCAAGGATTGTTATTATTATTATATTTTATTATTGTTGCACTGCAGTTTCTCTCACAATAAAACAGTATTAAAATGTGATGGTTGATCAGTCCTCTCTAGCCCTATTTTTTTAATATATATATATATTACACTTGTGATCCGTGTTTTCTAATTTCTTTTCTCAGTGTGTCTCGGGTGGTGTTCTGTTCCGGGAAACACTATTACCCACTGGTTAAACACAGAGAGGCTGCAGCAGAGACTGCAAACAACACAGCTATCATCAGGGTGGAAGAACTCTGCCCATTCCCACTGGAGGCTCTACAGAAAGAACCGAGAAATATAAAAACGTCAAAGGTCAGATTATAGAGTTATAATTGTAATTGGAGTCTAGCTACAGATTGGTGGATACCTTTTAAGAAAAAGAATGACCCTTTTTTTGGTCTGGGAACCAACGAAGAGGGACCAGGATGTGTAAAGCAATAGGCAGGGAAACTAACTGAAGGGGTTTTGGTTGTGTTGTTGGATTGTGTTTTGAGAGCTGGGAATAAAATAGTGATTTCTACGTTTGAGTTGTGAGAAAATAACACGGATCAGCCATGATCTAATATATCTAATTGGCAGAACAGGCTCGAGGGGTTGAATGGCTGACCCCTATATAGAGATGTGCCAATGAATTCATTTGCTTTGAAATCCTGTTGTTCTGCAAAACATAAATGGTGAAATGTAACAGGGAATTCAGGAGCGATGAACAATTTTAACTGTTAGCACGACTTTAGTGTTGTACATTTTTCACTTTCATATGACTACTTTGCCAAGTAAAGCTATCATATATGTATCAGGGAGTGAAATATAGCTGTTTTATTCATCCACATGACCATTGTAACTGCTTAAATTTGTGTGTCCCATCCATGTTAAGGTAAGAAAACTTTATACAGTTTCTATACAAAACGTGCTTTACTATTTTCCACGTACTAAATAAGCATCATTGCTTCACAGATTTTATATGGAGTCAGGAGGAGCCACAGAATATGGGGCCGTGGTTCTTTGTAGCTCCTCGATTTGAGAAGCAATTAGGATGCCGGGTGAGTTACCGCAGTGTGAAACCTGTCATTCGCGTAAGAAAGAGCTGAGATTCAAAGCGCTTTGTTGTTCAGCCTGGCTCAGTGGTAGCTCTCTCTCCCTCTCTCTCTCTCTCTCTCTCTCTCACCTCGGAGTCAGAAGTTTGTGGGTTCAAGCCCCCACGTCGGGATATGGAATCACATAGTTTAAGCTGACGCTCCAATGTAGTGCTGGGGGTGGGTGTTCCATTAAAGAAACAAATTTTTGATTTGTTCTGTAACGCTCTCACCTTTCTTTTCCCTCCTCTCCCCCCCACCCCCCCCCCCTCCAGTTGAAGCTGGTGAGCAGACCCCCTCTCCCTGCCCCCGCAGTGGGCATTGGAACCTTACATCAGGAACAACATCAGGACATCCTCAGGAGAACATTCTCCTAAAAGGGCTTTGAGAAATCTTTCAAGTTGCTCTCCAACAGGTGGTGGGGAGTGGTGGGGGGGGGTCGAACTCCAACCTTTTGGCTGCTGAGGGCCGGATTTCCTATTTGAGAAACGTACACAGGCCCCCGTAAGCGATATTTTTGTGTTTCCCTTTCAGAAACATAACATTTAGAGGTTATGGTGGGAGCGGGTGTGCCAGGTGAAATGGAGGGAGGGGGCGGATGAAATCGGCCCCTGGGCTGGATGCGGCCCGTGGGCCGCCAATTGGACCACCCCTCAGGGCCTACATGCGTCTGACAGGGGAAGACACAACACTTATTGACTTTTTGTAGTTGAGACTTTATGTATTGTACACTACAGCTTTTCCCCAAAAAATTCTTCCTTGGAAAGGGCTCAAATTCTGGGTTGACTTTTCTCATGACCTTTACCTCTCCTCCGAACACGGAAAGTACTGAAACTGGCATTGGTTAAGAATTAAAAAAGATTTCTTTGTGATTTATTTATCTGTTCGCCATTTATTTCTTTTGCAACTAAATGACTTGTGGTCGGTTGTCTAGGAATTTGAGGATTGAAGATCCAATCGCCTTGTGTTGGAATTCACATTCTAATGTGCTTTTCATTCTTTTACTCTTCATCAAACACGACCCTAACAAATGTTCTAAGACAGGAGGGGGTCCAACTTTTTTTGCTGCTGAGGGCCGTGAGGTGGATTTGAGAAATGTCTGCGGACCGCAGAAGCAATATTGCAAAATGTGCAACAATGGCTTTTTAAAATATTTCTGTCGTGCCCCTCTTCAAGTCGCTCAACGGGACGTCTCTCAGGAGGTGGTAGGGGACACGCGGCAGGGCAGAGAATGATGGGAAGAGCATTGGAGTGGGAGGCATGGGTCAAACTCGCTGCTCCCCCGCTCTCATAAATAATCCTTGCATTTGACGTAGCGCCTTCATCGCGGTGTCGAAACGACCTCAAAGCGCCTCCCAGAATATACTGCAAAGTGTAGTGACTGTGTAAGTTTGAGGGCGAAACGCGGCGGCCGATCGCGGACAGCGGTGCCCCACGAACAGCCGTGGATTGTTCGACCACAAAGCGGATCAGTTCACGTCCTTCAGGTCGGGGTGAAGCTGCCCAATCCGGCCATGTTGGGTTTTGGGTGGATGGAAAGTGGGGGTGGGGGGGGGTTTGGGGTGGATGAGTGTAGTGGTCCCTTTAAATGAGGGTCCAGGTGAGGAAGGCGGGAAATTCAAACGTTTGGCACGCGGCAGCGGCTGGGGTGACGTCATTCGACTTCCGGCCGGGGACCGGAAGCCGGGGGGGTGTACTGCTCGGCGTGCCCGAGGCGGCGCGGCTCCGGGGGCTCAGAGCGGACGGTGGCGCCCGTCGTGCGAATCCGTCGCCATCCGTCGGCTTAGGGCGAAGGGAAGCCCGGGATTCGCACCGCGGGCGCGGCGTCGGCCATCGGGGACTGCGCTCGGGCCCAGATATCGGCGAACAAAAGCGCCGGTTCCCGTCCAGACACCCGGCGGTTTGAAGCCGCGCGAGCCGAACGGTTGACGTGTCCATATAAGGTCATCCCACGTGACTCGGGGCGGCCCCGCCCCCCCCCCCTCCGGCCTTGTGTCAGATTCAAGTGAAGCAAAGAGAGCGTTTGATGTGTAACCAGTGAGTGTGTGGCAGAGCCGCCCCCCCCCCCCCAGCCATGGGCAGTGAGTACCCCCTCCCCTCCCCCCTTCCCTCCCAGCCTGGCCTGTGGGTGCCGTGAGCCCCGCAGTCTGTGTGTGTGTGTAACAGTAATCAACCACTGTGTGTATACATGTGTGTGTGTATATATATATGTGTGTATATGTGTGTGTTTATATGTGTGTGTGTATATATGTGTGTGTGTATATATATATATATATGTGTGTGTATATATGTGTGTATATATGTGTGTGTTTATATATATGTGTGTGTGTATGTGTGTATATATATGTGTGTGTGTATATCTATGTGTGTGTATATATGTGTGTGTGTATATATGTGTGTATATGTATGTGTGTATATATATATGTGTGTGTGCATAAGAATAATCAACCATTGTGTGTATGTGTGTATTGTAAATATGCGTGTATGTATGTGTATATATGTGTATAAGAGTAATCAACCACTGTGTGTGTGTGCGTATATATATGTGTGTGTGTATAAAAGTAAGCAACCATTATGTGTGTGTGGCATATATATAAGAGTAATCAACCATTGTGTCTATATATGACAATCACTCAGCAATATGTGTGTGTATATTTTATGTATGTGTATGCATATACACTTGCACACAAACAGAATTGTTGACTGATTGTTATAGATACACACAATAAAATTGCTGATTGTTCTTTTATATGTATATACAGTATATAATACACGTGTGTATATGTATACACACACAAGTGCTGAGTGATTGTTTCTATAAATATCTATATATGAATAATCACTTAGCAGTTGTCTTTGTGTGTTTTTACTGTATATATAATATATACACACTATATATAATGTATATATTATAACAATCTGCTGGTGCAGATTTGCCTATGTTTGCTTCGTTTCCAGTCTCTTTGGTTTGGGTTTATTTTTACGTAAAAAAGGCAGTTAATAAATGCAAGTTGTTTCAAATGCTGCAAGTTTTTAGGAGGATTTTGTTTAATTGGGGGTGGTGGGAAGAAGGAAAGAGGTAAAGGGGGCAAGAGCTTTAGCTCTGTCGGGTGGGGGGGGGGGGGGGGGGTTTAATCAAGTGTCACCCAAACGGTTAACCCATCTTTTATTTCAGATGCTGATTCACTTGTGGCTCACAGAAGCCACACATACCAAAGTCCCTGTTGCATTCACTCCCATCTTTTATTTCAAATATTCCTTGAAAATTCTGCTGTAGAGAACTTGAGGGAAATATGAGGCTGTTGCAAACAATAGTCATATTGCACTTTTTTATACAAAAGAGCTAAATGTAATAATAATAATAATCCTTGCCTTTGATATAGCGCCGTATCACGTCTTCGAGACGCCTCAAAGCGCTTCAAATGTATGTATAATCTCTGCATTTGATACAGAGCCTTATCACGTCATTGAAATGTCAAAGTGCTTCACAGAATTTACCCCAAAGTTAGTAACTATTTTGTAGGTGAAAGCGGAAGCCAATTTGCACACAAGTCCAACAATAACAACAACAAATTGCATTTGTATAAGACCAAACAGCCGTGAAGTGAACCACCGAGAACATTAATGCTTCACTTAGCCTTTTACCAGTAAATGAAGGGATTTCGGCTGATTTTGCTAGAGAGGCAAATTGAATAGTTTAAGTGAAAATTATTAAGCCATATTTAATGTAAAGCCACTAAAATGGTAATTGTGCACTGCTCCTCTGACTACTGTACCTTGACAGTTAAATCCCTGTATAAATGTGCTGATAGAACAACTTTATGACCTGGGACTGTCAATGTATTTTAGCAATTTTAAATACTTTTAGGCAATTAATAATTTATTAAAACCCAAATCTAAGTCTGTACTCTTATGAGGAAACCTTCCAAGATAACACCCATTATATTTTAGGTGGCTGAGATACAGCGAGTGGAGTTTAAAAGCCATGAAATCTGTTGCCATTTCTATTATTGCGCATCGGTCCACTATTGGCTTGAAAAATATTAACAGGCAATTGAAAATGTAGTTGTAAAGTATGACTGCAGGTTCTGAACTGTGGCAGTTTCGCACAAGACAGCCTCTGTTTACCTAGCAATAAGTAGGAACCTGGCTGTTAGTAGATTGGCGGATCGCTTTTCCGGGAATAACATTCACTCAAAAAAATAATAATAATTTGGTCACTCAATCCCATCAATGTGGGACGCTGCTGTGCGCAATTGGCTTCTGCGTTTCTCCCACAAATAATCAGTCAATTCACTTTACAGCATATTCTGTGAAGCACTTTGAGACGTCTAGAAGACGTGAAAAGCACTATATCAAATGCAAGGATTATTATTATTTATTATTATCCAGGTTTGTGTGTCGCTATGGTAGTGTGAGGTATATAGATATTTACATAGCGCCCTTCACACAGGGTACTGTCTCAGAGCGCTGTATAGTCCTGGGGTTGAGGAAGGTTTGTGGGACATTGCTGTACACAAATCGGATGCCCTATTTACCTTCAAATTCAGTTATTACACTTTACGGAAAACTGAAGGGCTTTGAGATGTTGTGATGTGATCTGGTGCTATGTCAGAATTCAGATATAATTTCTTGTCAGTACTTTTCTCAAAACAAACCTCTTCTTTTCCTGCAGTTAAATTTTTAGAAGTCATTAAGCCGTTTTGTGCTGTCTTGCCTGAAATCCAGAAGCCAGAAAGAAAGGTAATGAGATTTTTGTTGTTACTGTTCAATTCATATTCCTCATACTTTATTACATTTCATTAATATTGTTACATGAAGTGTGATATTGATGCTGGGGACTGTATACTCAAACGTAATTTAACTAGTTCCAAGCTGTCCCATGATTATAATAGAAAGAATTCTGGCCTCAGAGAATTGTGAAGAGTTTGTATAAATGATGTGTGTTAAGTGCAAAGAGAGTGTACCCACACAGGACTAGAAAAAAAACATTTGTGGTTAATTAAACTTGTCTCACAGAGCAAAAAATAAGTAATCCTATACTTATCGCTATCTCCCTTATCCGCTCATTCAATTTCTTCGCTAAATAGCTATCTTATTCCCTCCTGAATTTACTGATTCAATCTGCCTCCTTAGCCAACTGAATGCACATACCTCTCTCTCAGTAAAATAGTTAAATCTGAACTGTTTGTTCTTCTTCCCTCTTCTGACCTTGATTCTTGTGTAACCTAGAATTGTTTTTAATTGTTAAGCAGATTAATGTTCACTTTATGCTCTTAGGGTTGTAGATATTTCAGTGTAATCTTCCTTGAGCCTCCTCCCCCTTGCTAGCTTTTATGACCACATTAAATAGAATTTGCCTTCCTCCTGACTCCCAATAATTTTATCTATTCTATGTTATTTAAGTTACATGTATGAAGTGATTGTACAGAACTATTCTATTAATAATAATTGCATTTGATATAGGGCCTTATCTAGATAGTTTGAGAGAAACTTCTAAATCTCTAATTTGTTCTGAACATTCATAACCATTTATTCCACAGATCCAGTTCAGAGAGAAAGTATTATGGACCGCCATCACACTCTTCATTTTTCTAGTATGTTGTCAGGTAAGAGAAAATCACATGCGAATTGATGGGATTTTTTTTAAAAAAAGAGAGGAAATATTTATTTTAAAAACTTTCAGTGAGAACGTTTGCTGAAGTATATTAACGCGAGGTGGTTGCTTGTAGATTCCATTGTTCGGGATCATGTCATCGGACTCTGCAGATCCTTTCTACTGGATGCGGGTTATCCTGGCCTCAAACAGAGGTAGGCTTAAGCAACGCTTACTCTTATTATCTTTGGCCCAGGATCGGATTCAGCATCGATGGTCCTCATATTTTTGAACGACTTGGAACCTCACTTGAAGCGTTGTGCATCTAAAAAATCTGTTAATAATAATAATAATGCTTGCATTTGATACAGCGCCATGTCACGTTATTGAGAGGTCTCAACGCGCTTCACAGGATATATTGTTAAGTGGATTGACTGTATTTTGCGAGTGAATATACCACTACATGAGAGTATCTACCAAGCCGTTGGCTGACTGAATGCACCCCGTATTTAGGATATATTATGGCAAATGTCGACAGCTAACAAATAGTTACGTGCAACAAAGTATTTTTACCCTGCACTAAATGTTTACAAGAAGACGTTAGCTAACTTAAGCGATGTTGTGCATTTTGCACTACTACGTTATCAATAATAATAATAATCATCGCATTTGATATAGAGCCTTATCACGTCATGGAGACGCCTTAAAGCTCTTCAGAATACTCTGCAAAGTGAGTTGACTGTATGATGCTGTGCCCAATTTGGACGATTCTCAAACTGAACCGATGGTGTTTGCAGGTACCTTAATGGAACTGGGTATCTCCCCCATTGTAACATCTGGTCTAATTATGCAGCTGCTCGCTGGGGCAAAAATCATTGAAGTTGGCGACACACCAAAAGATCGAGCTCTCTTCAACGGAGCTCAAAAACGTAAGTGTTTTGGTTGCGAAATCTTTGACATTGTAAGAAATGCCTTACATACTGCACTTTCCGTATTATAATCTCGTCCAATTTACAGTTTGCCTCCCCTGTCTGGAACTCGATCCCTCCCCCTTCTTTCAAGGGACGTCTCAAAACATACCTCTGACCGTACTTTCAGTCATCTTTTTCCCTTCCCCCACCCCTCTCGGCTTCCACCCCCAATTTGCGTGCCCTCCCAGCACTGTGAAGCTCTTCGAAATGTCCTCCTGACGTTAAAAGCTATTGTATAAATGTATATTGTACCTTTGAGAGAACTCCACAAAGCAGGTACTTGTAAGTGCTCAGGCTTCTGTAGAATCCATGCTGTAAATTGTGGATATTAATCTAGATTCATGCAGTCAAAAATGCCCAGTAATTTTGTACTACACTTCCTGCAATAATATTCAAGTGACTCTCCTTCAGTAGAATGATTGAAATGACTCCCCAGGAGGCTGTTTGGCTCATTGAGCTGCTGCTGTTTTATGTTTCTATACCACTGAAGGAATTACTCTTAAGGCCAATTCCCTGCTCAGTTTCCCTGAATTCCTTTTTGTACTTGAAACTCCCATCCAATTTCAGTTTAAGTGTTACTTGCTGTCGCAGATTTAGTAGCCAAGTCTGATGAATTCATTGTTCCAACAATCCTGTGTGTGTGTGTTACTGAGTGTATATATATATATGTACATATATATATATGCCACCTTCTTACAGACTGACAGTTTTTTTTTCTCTGCAGTGTTTGGAATGATCATTACCATTGGTCAGGCTATTGTGTATGTAATGACTGGCATGTATGGAGATCCTGCAGAAATGGGGGCTGGCATCTGTCTCATCATCATTATACAGGTTGGTTCCAGAGCCAAGCACAGGCGATTATCTACTTTCCTTTGTTTGCTGTCTGTGCTGCGCCTTTTGTGGAATGTCCCAGTTGTGGAGTCGTGTAGCGTAGTGGTTAGCCCGGGTTTGATAACCCTGGCAGGGCAAAACCTTAGGCAAGTTTCCTGATTCCACACGCCTCTATTTACCTAACAGTAAGTAGGAACCCCAGTTGTTAGTCGATTAATGCATCACTTTCTGGAGGTAATAAGCCCTCAAAAAAATTGGTCGTTCAATCCACGACTGCTTGTGGGACCACCCTGTTTGTGGGTGCGTTTCACCCACAAAATACACAGCCACTACATTTTCAGTATATCCTGTGAAGCGCTTTGGGACATCTCAACAATGCGATAAGGCACAATATTAAATACAATGATTACTCTTATTTGGGGATGAAGTTCCGAAAGTGACACAGTGATTATTAAATATTAATATTAAATATTATTATGGTAAGCCATGTTTCATTTTATGTGCTTAGACTTGCAGTTTCCCTATTTTTTTTCTCTTTTGTACTAAATGTTTATTTGATCAGTGTTTAAAGAGCAGGGCAAAGGGGATTCTGTGTGTGTCTGACTGATGTCTTGTCACACAGCTCTTTGTGGCTGGTCTGATCGTGCTCCTGCTGGATGAGCTGCTACAGAAAGGTTACGGTCTGGGCTCCGGCATTTCCCTGTTCATTGCCACAAACATCTGCGAAACCATTGTGTGGAAAGCCTTCAGCCCCACCACCATCAACACAGGCCGAGGTAAGCAGTTTGAGGCAGTGGGTCCTTGCCTTTTACGATTGCATTTATGATCTCTAACTTTTATGTAATAAGAATGTTTGCCCCTGGAGTCTAGCTGGCATATCGATTTGTAGATTTAGTAGCAATTAACCAGATTGGAGTTGAGGTACAGATCGGCCATGATCTCATAGAATGGCGGAACAGCTGATGTGCTAACTCCATTTCCACCTGTCAGTTTCTTCCGCTCAGTGAGCTCTGGCCTGCTCCACGTCCCCCCGCCCAGCTCGGCCCACCATCGGCAGTCGGGCCTTCAGCCCTCTGCCAGCAACCTCTGGAACCCCTTCATCTCACCCATTCCCTTACCTCCTTCAAGGAACATCTGAAATCCCTCCTTCGACTGTGCCTTCGATCACCCCCACCCTCCCTGACCTCCTACCCCTAGCTACCCTGCCCTCCACCCTTCCTGTTCCCAACCCCGTTGTTGTTGATACCTACCACTTTCTGATGTCCTTGCCCAGGTACTGAGTTTGAGGGAGCAGTGATTGCTCTGTTCCACCTGCTGGCCACTCGACAAGACAAGGTCCGTGCTCTACGCGAGGCGTTCTACCGACAAAACCTACCGAACCTGATGAACCTCATCGCCACTGTCTTCGTGTTTGCCGTCGTCATCTATTTTCAGGCAAGGTGGCATCTGTAGCATTAGCTCGCAACCTGTTACACCAACCTCCTGCCCTTCCTTTTAGAAATGTCACAAGCTGTGCACTGCCTGACTTCACATCAGAATTAATCCACTGCTCTGTGAAAGTGTGAACTACAAATGTCATAATTCTGTAAGGTTAATGCTCTTATAGTCAAAACGATTGTACAGCCCAGAAGGAGGCCATTCGGCCTATTGGGCCTGTACTGGCTCTTTGTAAGAACTTTTGGTTTACAACAACTTGCATTTATATTGTGAGTTGACCGGTGGTGAATATCTCAACAACGTGATAAGGTGCCATATCAAATGCAAGGATTTTTTTTAAAATTATTAATTAGATGTGTACTCAGCTCAGTCGGTGACACTCTCTCGCCTCTGATTCAGAAGGGTTTGGGTTCTATCCCCAAGTTGGCATTTGAGCTCATTGGACTAGGGTGATAGTCAGTGCAGTACTGGGGGGGAATGCTGCACTGAAATAGTGTAATCTTTTGGTTGAGCTGTTCCTTTTGCGGCACTACCATGAGAAGGGAGATTCTCTTGTCCAACAGCCCTCCAGTTAAGTTAGTCATTGACCTCTTGACTGTTTGTTTGCTTACGGGACTTATGTACAAAAATTGCTGGCCCGTTTTGCCTACAAAATCACAGTCGCTAGATGTGACTGCCATTAAACGCTACAGATGCTGTGAAACTTCTGTTGACTTCTTTTTACCCAGGGATTTCGTGTGGACCTGCCCATCAAGTCAGCACGTTACCGAGGGCAGTACAGCAGCTATCCCATCAAGCTGTTCTACACCTCGAACATTCCCATCATCCTTCAGTCTGCCCTGGTGTCCAACCTGTACGTCATCTCACAGATGCTCTCTGTTCGGTTCAGCGGCAACTTCTTGGTCAACCTGCTGGGCCAATGGGCTGTGAGTCTCCTCTCAAGTCGCTTGTGTTAAAATTCTGAACGTTTGTGAACATATTGCTGGCAGCGTTTCCGCCATTAACGCTACTGTTAAGAAGTGTAAGTTCTTTGTCGTAGAAATTAGCGCTCAAAAGGCCGGCCTTTGGGTCATCTGGTTGCTTTCAGTGCAAGTTCCTGACTGTCCAGCGCCTTGGGACATCCTTCTGACGTAAAAGGTGCTTCACGAATGGAATTTGTTGTTCCACATGGCGCATTTAACCACTTAGCCATTGGGGATACAGCGCCTTATCACGTAGTCGAGACGTCTCAAAGCACTTCACAGGACATACTGTCAAGTGAATTGACTGTATTTTGTGGACAACTGTATATTTTGTCTTCCCTCTGGTTTTGCTGCAATTGTTGTTGACGTCGGTGTTGTTCATTTACAGGACGTTAGTGGTGGTGGTCCGGCTCGGTCCTACCCAGTCGGTGGTCTCTGCTATTACCTGTCGCCTCCTGAATCGATGGGCGCCGTGTTTGAGGATCCCATCCACGTCACCGTTTACATCATCTTCATGCTGGGGTCGTGCGCTTTCTTCTCCAAGACGTGGATCGAGGTTTCCGGCTCGTCTGCTAAAGATGTAAGTCGTGGCGATGTGTAGCGCTTTTTCAGCAACGCTGCCACAGGCAGGGCAGAGGAGCAGGGGAAAAAAATTGCGATTTGGAATTTGAACGATAGCGTAACTGGTAATTTCATGTGCTGTTTTATCTGCACAAACCCAGGTACAGCTCAGTGGTCTCCAGTCTGCTCCATCTCCCCCGCCTGGCCTGCCCCACCATTGCTGGTCGGGGCTTCATCCTCTCAGCGTTCACCCTTTGGAACTCCATCCCACAGTCCCTCTAACAACCCCCCACTCCTTTGCCTCCTTCAAGGCCTGTCTCAAGACTCTCTTCCTCAACTGTTCCTCCGATCACACCCCCCAACCCCCAGCTAAGGTCCAAATCCCTGACTGTCCAGCACCTTGGGACGTCCTCCTGACGTGACAGACGCTGTGTAAATGTAACTTGTTGGTGTTGCAGAGCACTGAATAGAGGTCAGAAAATCATCGCCGTCTTAAGCATTTTCGGAAAATTCTTAAATTCAGTCTTGTTTGAAGCCAGTTTTTCTGCAACTTCTCAAAAAGACCCATGGAAGTCAGGCTTTCAAACTCACAACTTAATTTAAGGATTCGTTAATTTTTTTTCTCTCTTCTCTGCCGTTTGAGAGAACCCGCAATAGTTATTTATCTCTCCGCAGGTTGCCAAACAGCTGAAAGAGCAACAGATGGTAATGAGAGGTCACAGAGAAACATCAATGGTCCATGAGCTCAATAGGTAAAGTACTTAATTGGTCTTGGCTACCATAACAGTAATGATGATGATCCTTGCATTTGGCATAGCGCCTCCGCTTGACTGGCTCTGGCCTCCTGCTTGTCCCTCAGTTCCACCATTGGCGGAGTGTTTTGTGAGCGAACAGATCAGCTTCAGGCACTTTCATAAAGGTAATCTCGTGGATTATGAAGACCCATTCAAAATATTTTAAGTAAATTCAATTCCCTGAGCGAAACTTGGCGGCCAATTGCGCACAGAAGTATTTTCACAGTTCTAATTACCAGCCACCTACAATGCAAACCGCTTGCTTTCTGTGATTTTCACTAATTGGCTTTTTCAGAGTAAAATAAATTAATCCGCTTTACATTTTTCTGTGCAGTCGTTGAGAACATAAGAATCGCTAAAGACCAAGGTCCATCCAGTTTGCCTGCCACCATCCTGGCAGTTGCTTTCACGTGTCATATCCCAAACTGTATACTGTATCCCGAGATACTATTTCTAACAGAAATCAATCTGATTTGCTTTTGAAAGAATCAACACTTTCTGCTTCCACCGTGTGTCTCCCCAGGGAGCCTGTTCCATACGCTACCAATCGCTCTCAGTTTCCCTTGTGTAGCCACCAGGAATTTTAACGTATTGAACGTGTCTTCTTTCCCAGGTACATCCCTACAGCGGCTGCCTTTGGCGGGCTCTGTATTGGAGCGCTCTCAGTGTTGGCGGACTTTCTCGGGGCGATCGGATCCGGCACGGGAATCCTGCTTGCTGTCACCATTATCTACCAGTATTTTGAAATCTTTGTGAAGGAGCAGGCTGAAGTCGGAGGAATGGGGGCACTGTTCTTTTGAAGTGCCAAAAACTCGAGAAGGATTTATTTATGTAAAAGGGAAATTTTTTTTTTTTTTTTACACACACTGCACACTTTTTGAGGGGATGTGTAAAGGGAGTCCTTTTTAGTGTTTAATCCAAGCCCTAAATCTATCTGGTTTCTCTTCCCTCCTCCCTCTGCCTCCTTCGCTTCTCTCTACCCCCCCCCCCCCACACCCCGGTGTCTCTCTCTCTCTCCTCCCTCTCCCTGACTGTCAGCCCCTTTCAGTATTGGGCATCGATGTCAACCTGTGCAGCGTACTCCCTTTATTGCCTCAAACCATTGCTGCTCTTACATACTTTACTGTCAATGCCAAAAAAAACAATGCATTCAGATAGGCATTTTTATACCCTATAGTCCTTACTTTGAATGTGTTCTCGACAACAGAAAAATGTCTGTTTACATTGTGCACTGAGTTTCAAGATTCTTTTTTTAAGGTGTTCTCCAGTGTGGGAGGGTAGAGTTGGGCAGTCAGCCGAGCAGTTGAATCATGAATTTCAAAAGCTGCTGCACATCGTTGGAAGCGCAATTTGTTTTTAGGTGTAAAATGGCCTCTATTTTTGTGTGTGCTGTTGCTGGAATTCTCATTGCAATCAGTGTTTTTTAAATCTTTCGTATCTGCAGTGACACCAGTGAAAACCGCCCATCTTCCCCCAAGTGTTTATAGAGGTAGATCACGGGGCGAAACCATTTTGAGTCCAGTGTTGTTTTGGCGGCAGCTGCAGCAAGTTGCAATCGTAAGCATTAATTCACTGTGAACGTGGGCTTGCACAAAGACTGGGTTGCGTTACAGTACAGTTCAGGTCATTTCATTTGATGTATTTGCAGCAGTAATGTGAAGTGAAAATGGTCGAGCAGCAGTTAAATGTACAGTATAATGGGATGTGCTGTTCTAGTATTCAAAAGGTGCAAATGCAAACTATGTGGATTATTGGAAGAGTCGTAATTGGTGAAAATGGATGCTTTTTAATCAGATTTCTCAGCAAAGTGAGGAGATAACACTGCCTTTTGAGATTGAGTTGGAAAAGGAATAAAAAATGTTTCCATATTAAAATTCTATTGGATATCATTTTGGATTGTACTACCAAAAATAATCCTCGCTTTTGATGCAGCGCCTGATCACGTTGTTGAGATGTCTCAAAGAGGATATGTTGTAAAGTGAATTGACTATATTTTGTGGGTGAAACGTTTTCAATCAGGTTCCCTGCAAAGAAATATTGTAGAGTACAACTCTTCGACCTGGTCTACCTATCTATTCTGCAGTGGGAACAAAAAGATGTGGGATTGCTGCCTCCCTTTGATGTATGCAGTGACGCTTGTCTGAAGTACATCATTGCTAGCCCGCGAGAAATCTAATCCGAGCCGGTCTATTTCTGGAGGGGACATTTCAAACGTTGGCATAGCAACATTTCTGGTTGCCAGCAGGAGGTTTGTTATTTGACTCTGATTCCCAGCAGCGAACAGAGTGAAGCTCTTCTGATCCACTCACCATATAACCTGCCCCATCCTCTGTACTGGAGCAAAGTTTGTCAAATTAAACTTTAGCAGCAATGTCACAGAGGGTAGGGGTGGTAAAGAAATGATCTTATATAATCCTTGCATTTGATACAGCGCCTTATCTCGTCTTTGAAACGTCTCAAAACAGTCTTGGAATGAGTGATCAAATTATTATTATTTAAAAAAAAAATTCTTGAGGGATTATTATCAGTAGTGTGGCAGTAAGGAAACTAGCCCAAGGTTTTGACCTGCCGGGAATTGAACCACTGTGTAGGAAGAGCAGACCAGAAGGCCTGGCTGATACCTTATATCTAGGTAGCGCGCTCAATTCTATGGCATGTGAACCCCATTGCATTGTTTTTAATGGTATTGGTCCAACAAGTGCACATATCAGGATTGTCTTGTGCAAAAATGACACCTTTTAGGCTGAACTTCTGATCAATTTTCTACACTGATACGAAAGTGAGTGCAACTGTGTGGTTTTGGTCGTGACTACTGACAGGTTATTAAGTTGATTGAATCCACTCCCCTCCCAGCAATTACTATTTTTGATATCCCCGGCCTTAAATCGATTTCTTAACTCAAGTCCTGAAATATCAATCAGCAATTACGCACAGATAACACTACCCGCACAAGCGTCAGTGCTTGTCGTGCAATTCTGCTGCTTCACTTCGGGTAACAAAACATTTGACATGGAGGAGAAAAGTTGCTTTGGTGTTTGACAACAAAACATTTAGGTAAATTAGGCAGTTTGCGATTTACCCAAATAATCCATACAAATGAAATCAGGATAACTTAGTATTGCCAGTATCCATTGTTGATCGTGGCGGTGGGGAAGGGAAGAGCAGAGAAATTGGTAAAATCTGAACAGAGGATCTCAGTTTGCATAACATTCAGTTTCAAGAGCAGTGTTTATATTATTGATTATAATAATAATCCTTGCATTTGATACAGCAGCTTATTAACATGTCGTTAAAATACCTCAAAGCACTTCAGAGTACACTGTAAAGTGAACCAATTGTATCTTGTGGGCAAAAACACAGATGGCAAATGCTCACAGCAGTCTCCCACAAACAGTCGTGGATAGAGTGACCAAACTTTTTTTTTTAAAAAAAAAGGGATTCTTACCCCCGGAAAAGCGTTCCGCTCATCAACTTAACTTACTGCTAGGTTAACAGAGGCGTGTGGAGTAAGGAAACGTGCCTAAAGTTTCGCCCCGTCCCAGGTCCTCTGCGAGGTTAGCGCTCTAACCGATATACTACAGGACTCCAGTGTTTACAAAGCACCGTTTCTAACCACGATCTTAATCTCCAGAACGCGCACACGCTCACGAAATAACTTGCCTCAGTTTCTAAATTTGCCGTTTACAGATGACAAGTACTTGCGTTAAGCACAACGGAGGCCGCGCTCTTCAAAACATTCACATTGCATTTCAGTCATTTGTGCCAAAGTACCATTTTGCTAAAAGTTTAATTGGGTCCATTTGTGGAATGTTTAAAAAAAAATAATAGTGTCTTAATCCGAGCCACTAAAACTTGCAAAGCATTTATGATCACATAGTTCAGCAGTTCTGCACAAAACCTCTTCGGTCCCTCGGCTGTTTTTAACGGATACAAAAAAAAAATCACACCGGTTTGAAAAGCAAAACCCATGGAGATCGGAAAATAAGGGATGTCACAAAACAAAATTGATTCTGAAACCGAGCAAATTGGCAAAGTAACAATAACCATAATATAACACTGAACGCTATTATCTGCTTACTTGCACAATGCTGAACACAGTTACGTGGCTCTAATATTCTACAGACTAATCGAAGTCGATATGCACACGAGGATTAGATTCCTTACCCCACCACTTTATACCAATACCCTTTCTGACCCTGGCATAATTACTGACTCGCTCCCAATGGTACCTCCTCATTTAAATATCTCAGAGGATACTTAAACGCAGTTGTCGAGCCGATAGTGCAAGCGGTAGGTGGGTTTTATTTTTGGAACCGTTCAGAAAGTTCCTTTCAAAATAATCCAACCTTTAACCGGCTTTGGAAAGCTATCAGTTGGGCCTTATTGTAATAATCTTACGGTAAATAAATTGGTTGCTTCAATTTACAATTGTTTATTGCACGCTAATGTGTATAATTGGCTGCTGCGTTTTGCCCACAAAATATACAGTCAATTTACTTCAGTGTATATTCTGTGAAGCGCTTTGAGACGTCTCAAGGACGTGATAAGGCGCTGTATCATATGCAAGGATTATACTTTGAACGTGGCAGCCAATTGGGCACAGCCGTCTTCCACAAACAATTGTGCATTGAGTGACCAAATTATTTTTATTTCTTTTTGAAGGGATTATAACCCTAAGAAAAGCGATCCGCCAATCGACTTAATTACTGCTGGGTAAACAGGCGTGTGGAGTAAGGAAACTTGCCCAACGTTTCACCCTGTCTGGGAATCAAACCCAAGTCCTCTCGCTTGCGAGGCGAGCGCTCTAACCACTGAGCTACAGAACTCCAGTTGAGCGGCAATTTCTATTGCCATGTCCCAATGATGCGACCTCCCCCCCCCCACCACTCTCCCCAGATCTGAACCAGCCGCACACTTCTGATCTCGCTCCGAGGTAGAAATTTTCAAGTTTTTTTGTTGTTGTTGCAACATTAACTTGTCCGGTCAGTTAGTCAGCCTATGCAAGCTTATCGCTTGACCTTAATACTGGTAGTTTACATAAAGCATTGAGTTTTACAGCACAAGGTTAAAAACAATTGCAAACATGTGTCGTCGTCGTCAAATAATCGAAGGGGATTTTGAAAAAGCCTGTTTGCACTGGCGCTGAGGCACTTTAAGCTGAGCCGAGGCCTGAAATTTTACATGGTCTTAGCCTCAGGGCCATCAACTTAAATTTAAGAGTGTGCAGGATTTGGTCAAACTCTTTTAACAGTTCCGTCTTGGTTCGGAAGCCGCTTTTCCACAGACATCTTATAAAGGAAAAGTGGCTTGCAAATTAAGACAATGGTCTTAAGGTTACAGATGAGGCTGTTCATTTGACCAGCAAAAAAAAAACTGTTTGTTAATCGATACAACAGGCAGAAGATAGAACTCAAATCTACTCAAAACTATTCTTCCTATGCGGCTTTCTGCAACACAATCCTCCACCAAGTGAGTTTCAGGTGCAGATTGAGTAGGGAGGGAGATGGAGGAAGGTTGGGGGCGGGCGGGGGTAGGAAGGAGGGAAAGGAAGAAAGGGAGGAGGGTGCCGTTGTGACTTCAAGCTTTCAGGACAGGCAGCATGTTTGGCTTCGAAGTTGCGTGCGTCAAACCCATTGCGTAGATATAAACCCGGGCGTCCACCATAACTTTCTCTTTCCGGACCATTTCTGGAAAATAAACGTCGACATGCCACCAATTAATAAAATGTTATTTCACCGGCTGATATACATACAATTTTCCAAATAAATGAAGTCTCTGTGGTTGCATTAAGCAGCAACTTTAGTTGGATCAAAATTTAACTTCAAAATGGAGTCAAACTTTAGTTGCCCTCCACCCCTCCTGATCCCAGCCCCGAGCTCGGGTCCAAATCCCTAACTGTCCAGCGCCTTGGGACGTCCTACCGACGTGAAAGGCGCTGTACAAATATAATTTGTTGATGTTATCACACACACACTGCCATTCACAAATAACTCGTTTAAATAAATCCCTTGATAAGGAATTTTTTGGGGGGGGGTCTTGACAACTATGAATCATCTGGATCATTATTCCTGATGTACATACTTTATTCCCACGCAACTTGTACAGACGCCAATATTTTCCGAGAGATCTTCTATTTATTATTAATAATCATAATAATTGCATTTGATGCAGCAGCTTTCACATCAGGAGCTTTCAAAGCGCTTCACTGGACAGAAGATACATGTCAAGTGTAGTGACTGCGTGCTGTACTCGAACGCGATAGTCGATTTGCACACGTCGCAGGGCGAGCATACCGTCAATCTTCTTCAGAAGTTCGTTCATGGGAATCAAAACAACTTCAGCAAATTCTGAGGAGACAAAGAGCTGCAATGAGATATGCCTGGCTGATCGCCACGTCGAAAGAATGACATATGTAATACCGTTGATGAATATGATAGTCTGTCGCTATACTTAGCCATTCTGTCAAGTGTATGAAAAAGTACCTCCGTCCTCTGAAAGATTGAAAAAGGCTCCATTTTAATCCAAGTGGAAAACACAATAATAATCCTTGCATTTGATACAGCACTTTATCATGTCTTCGAGACGTCTCAAAGCGGTTCACAGATTATAGTGTAAAGGAAATTGACTATTTTGTGAGCGAAACTCAGCAGGCAATGCACACATAGCAATGTCCCACAAACAAACAGTCAGGAGGTCAAAGTTAATTGCAGGGCTCCACGTAGTATAAAATCCAAAGCTAAATATCAGACAAGTTTTATCCTTTTGAGATATTGTAAGATTTCTTAAAAAAGTTACAACCGTTAATTCAAATCAGATGTATTAATATTTAATTATTAATTCATCGTATTAATTTATAATATATACAATAATAATCCTTTATTCGGTATAGCGCTTTTCACGTCTTCGAGACGTCTCAAAGCGCTTCACATAATATACTGTAAAGTGAATTGACTGTGTATATTTTGTGACGAAATGCGGCAGCCAATTGCGCACAGCAGCGTCCCCACAAACAGTCGTGATTGAATTTATTATTATGATTTTTTTTGTTGATACCCCCGATACTAAAGGCTTGGATTGTTTGCTCGCTTACCCAGTCTCTGTTTTGGTTTGATGTTTTCTGAATCATCTCCGTTAATATAAACCGTTACAAACTGTGTCGAACAGTTGGACAACCCAGGGTCCAGGCACACGACTGAAATGAAGAGAGTTCGCAGTTAAAGCCTTAGTCCTCTGCTTGTTTTGCTTTACCCCTCCCCCAATTTGCTTGCTCTTAAGTACTCCCCACCCCACATGTCCAACTAAATTATTATTATCTTTAGATGGCAGTCTAACGTCCAAACCTGGCGATGTTCCGCTGGTCTCGCCTTTGTATCCGGTTTCTTCCAGAAGTTCCCGCACAGCAGCGCATTCTGGGGTTTCACCGTCATCCATCAGACCTGGAATTAAAAACATTATGAGACACCGCACACATACACAGCCACAACCACACAGCCACGCACACATACAGCCACACACAGCACAAGGTTTGGCCAAACACAAAGCGAGCCTTGTCCTGCAATGTGACCACTGAGACTAGTCTAATAGTTGTCTGCAAAATAGGGTTAAAGTGGATAATTATCAGATCGAGTACTCAGTTTTTTGGGGGGAGTTGAGCTTTGAGCACCAGCTTGCGAGAGAGACTCTTATTTCTAATGAAAACCAAAAAGAACGCACTCTTTTTTAAAGAACTATACTGTTTGACCCATGGCATAGGATTAAGGCATTCTCCCATTTTGTCCCCCATAATAGTAATTAACTAATCCTTGCATTTGATATCACGCCTTATTGTGTCTTCGAGACGTCTCAAAGTGCTTCACAGAGTATACTGCAAAGTGTAGTCACTGTGTATTTTGTGGTGGATAATTGTGTGCTGTGTCTCAGCTCAACTCTGCAGAAAGATATTAAAATAACACAGAAACCATTACATCAATGTATAGACTCTAAAAAACACAGATTAAAGTAAAATACAGATACGGCAATAACACGGCAGATTACCTACCTGCTGGAAATTCAAGGCAGTAGCACCCTAGAGCAGGTCGGAACTGTTTTATCATGACCAAACAGTCATAATGCAGCGTCTTTTTAAGCACAGCAAACACAGCAACTCCTGAAAAGAAATCCTTTTATTTGTAAAGTAAAACAATCTTCAAACGACGCTGAGGCTGCACTAATTTACTCTAAAATCAACGTTTTAATAATTAGAACTACAATAATAATTCTGCCCTATAATGTCATCGAGACGTCTCAAAGTGCTTTACGGAATATATTGTAAAGTGTAGTGACTGCGTATTTTGTGGGCAAAACGCGACAGCCAATTGCACACAGACAGTCTCACAAACAGTCACGGACTGAGTGACCAATTCTTTTTTCTTTTTGAAAGGATTATTACCCCCGGAAACTGATCCCCCAATCAACTAACAGTGGATTCCTACTTACTGCTGGATGAACAGGGGCGTGTGGAGTGAGAAAACTTGACAAAGGTTCCTCTCGCTTGCGAGGAGAGCGCTCTATCCACTGAGCTACACGACTCCACGATGGGGGAAAAAGGTCAATGAGCTGAAAATTCTCACGACAGTAAAATGACATTGCTCAAAACAAAGAGCGGGGGACAGCAGACGAGATCAGAGACGGGTCAACTTTACTTCCTAACTTACCATCAGTCAGAGCATTTTGTTTTCTGGTAGTCCGTTTGACAGTTTCCCAGACTCTGTTGTGCAAAAATAAATTTAATGAGCCCGGAGACAAATACAGCAGGTCATTGAAGTGTGTAGCAGCACGCTGGCGCTGTGTATTGTGAAGACAATTCCATTTAGACATTAAGAGATATTTCCATACTATATTTAGTTATTTCTCGCCCCCATTCCCATTTACAAGCTCCCCGCCGCCCGCCCGCCCTTATTGCTCGGGAGCTGACAGGAAGCACGTTTCTTGCGGAGTTAGCAATCAGTCACGTTGTTGCTTTCCATCCCTTTAACGTTGAGAAACTGCATACGTTAAACCTGGAGTTGTGAGATTCGCTGCTAAGCAACGGCAGAAGAGCTTGAGGGGAGAACAACAACAACAACAACAACTACTACTACTACTTGCGTTTACACAGCTCCTTCGCTGGGGGCAGTGTCTCGGAGCCGAGCCGGTGGGGGTGGCGTAGTGGGTGGGGGGGGGCGAGGACATGACTGTAAACACTATCGGGGATTGAAAAGCCCACAACTACCTGGAGAATCCCACCATTTTATCAATCCCTCTGCGGACTATTTGACGTGCAAGATTTGACACCCCCTCCCAAGTCCCCTCAGGTGGAAAATGCCTCACATTTCAGCATATTACTGAAGTTGGAACCTATATAATATATACAGCCCGACAGATAATACCAAATGCAGGCAATAAAATGAAACACATTTATACCTGGTTTTGCCAGTGGGATCTTTGTAGGTTGTCTCTAAAACTTGAACCCATTTGCCTTTCATCAATACCTAGAAATCAATGAGCGGCACATTTAATACAACAACAACAACAACTTGCACTCACGCAGCGCCTCTTCACGCGGGGCAGCGTCTCGGCAGCAACATCAACACACGCGGGTGCAATTTTATAACCGCCCCCTTAGCATAAAGTGTCTGTAATCTTCAATACATAGTGGGTTTTCCTAAAATATAGTCGTTCAATGCCATTGACATCAATCCTTCACCAACTGCCCACAACCCCCCAACCCACCCCCCCCCCCCAAACAAAACACAGCAACTGAACAGTCTGGGATTTGGACCCGAGCTGGGGGTTGGGAATCAGGACGGGTGGGGGGTGCGGGTAGGAGGGTGTCCGAAGGAGCGGTCGAAGAGCAGTCTTACAGGAGGCAAGTGGGGGGTGGGGGGGAAGGCGAAGGGACTGTGGGACGGAGTTCCAAAGGGTGAAATACAAGTGCAGTCGTCGTAGGAATCAGCATTGAAAATTTCCCCGTGTCTTCGGATGTTAAACATATTGTACTCTTTTTAAAGAAAAAAAATACAATCGTTATGATAACTTCTCAGGCGGATAAAACAGATTTCAGATCACAAATTGTATGAAAATATCAGGAGGAGCTTCTTGTGTAAATATCAAGTCAATTGAACATTTTTTTTTAAGACATCGATGTTTGTCACTGCTATAAGTGCGCCAGTAATTTTACACCACCAGAGACAAGTTAATCACATGCTCACATCCAACATATCCACAACAAAAACCTTCAAGCCGAGGGGTGTTATTAAGTTCTCTCGGGTAAGTTGCAAGCCACGCGAATTTATCAGTTGCATTTTCACAGGTCCAATTGCAGAATCGACCGTGTCCACCGACAAAAGCCGCAACGACGCAGCGTATACCGCCTGAAATATCTTTTACGAGGCTTCAACCCACCACTTGCCAACCGTGTGACATTTTAACTGACATGTTTTTACCTCTTCTTTGACGATCGATTGTTCGGAACTGCCCGTTTCCATGTCTACTGAAGGCTCCGGAGGTTAATTTCTATTTGTGCGAGGAAGGTGAATGCCAGGGAGCCTTAAGACTGCGGAGCCGATGATCTGTACGTCTTTCAATGAGGCCCAGGGACGATCTTCGTCGCCCAAGTATTCAGCTGGTGGCCCCGATGTGTTTTTTTCAATCTGTCAAATACACGGAAACATGCCATCAGTACCAAATAATAGTAATAATAATCATTGCATTATGATGTCGCCCCCTTATCGCATCGTCGAGATGTCTCAAAGCGCTTCAAGGAACATAATAGTAATAATAATAAATAATCCTTGCGTTTGATGCGGCATCTTATCACGTCCTCGAGACGTCTCAAAGGATATACTGTGAAATAACTTGACTGTATTTTGTGGGCACAGCAGTGGATTGAGTGAACAATTTTATTTGGGGGATTGTTGGCCCACCCCCCACCCACACACACACACACACAACCCCACCCATACACAGCCCCTTCCAAGCCTCTCCCCCCCCCTCCCACACACAACCCCACCCCACTCCAGGCTCTTTCCCCCACACACACACAACACGCCCCCCCCAGCCACCCACCGCCCCACACAAACCTCCCCACCCCACACAACTCCCCCCCCCAGCCTCTCCCCCCTCCCACCCTGGGGTGTGGGGGGGGGGTTCCCTCACTCTCCTGCCCTCTTATTCTGCGTGTCCCTCATTCCCACTCAATCTGTGCCTCCCTCACACTCTCTCCCTCCTTACACCCTCCTTTCTGTCCAGCACTCACACACTCCCTCCCTCCCTTCTTGCTACGCATCGGTCCCTCACTCACTTGCTTCCTGACACTTACACGGTCTGTCCCTCACTCGCACTCCCTTCCCTTTACTCACACACATTCATCCCACAAAATACCCAGTCACTACACTGTACAGTATATTCCCGTGAAGCGCTTTGAGACGTCTCGACGGCGTAATCAGGCGCTGTGAGAGGATTGTCCCTCACTCACACCCCCTTCCTGCCTCACACACACACTGAGCCTCACTCACACTCAATCCCTCTCTTACTCACTCACTCACTCCCTCCCTCCACTCTGTCCCTCCCTCCCTCCATCCCTCTCTCCCTCAATCCCTCTCTCCCGCCCTCTGTCCCTCAATCTCTCTCCCTCTCTCAATCAATCCCTCTGTCCCTCCCTCAGGAGGGGGGAGGCTGGGGTGGGAGGGGGTTGTGTGTGTGGGGGGGGTGGCGGGAGGGGGGTGTGGGGGAGAGGGGGGTGTGGGGAGAGGTTGGGTGGGAGGATTGTGTGTGTGTGGGCGGGGGTTTGTGGGGGGGGATTGTGTGCGCCTGGGTTGTGTTTGTGTGTGTGTGGGGGTGGGGATTGTGTATTTGGGGAGGGGGTTGTGTGTGTGTGTGGGGGGGGGACTGGTAGGGGGAGGGGTTGTTTGTGGGGGGGAGACTGGTGGGGGGGTTGTGCGCGCGTGTGTGTGGGGGGGGATGTGGGGGGGGGCTGGTGGGGGGGTTGTGTGTGTGTGTGGGGGGAGGTGTGTGTGGGGGGGGAGGCTGGTGGGGGGAGGGGTTGTTAGTGGGGGGGTTATGTGTGGGGGGAGGGGTTGTGGGGGGGAGGGGGTGGGGGGAGGGTGTGTGTGGGGGGGTGAGGGCTGATGGGTGTGTGTGTGGGGGGTGGGGGCTGATGGGGGTGTGTGTATGTGTGGGGGTGTATGGGGGCTGATGGGGGTGTGTGTGTGGGGGGGGTGTGGGGGGAGGGTGTGTGTGTGTGTGGGGGGGTGGGGGCTGATGGGGGTGTGTGTGTGGGGGGGGTGTGGGGGAGGGTGTGTGTGTGTGTGTGGGGGGGTGGGGGCTGATGGGGGGTGTGTGTGGGGGGGTGGGGGCTGATGGGGGTGTGTGTGGGGGGGAGTGGGGGAGGGGTGTGTGTGTGTGGGGGGGGTGGGGGCTGATGTGGGGGAGTGGGTGTGTGTGGGGGAGGGGTTGTGTGGGGGGAGGGGTTGTGGTGGGGGGGGGGTGGGGAGGGGGTGG